CAATTTTGACTCATTTTTTACTCAATTTTTAACTCAATTTTGGGTCATTTTTGGCTCAATTTTTACCTCAATTTTGGCTCATTTTTGACTCATTTTTATCTCCATTTTTACCAATATTTAGCTCCATTTTTACCTCAATTTTACCTTAATTTTGCCTCGTTTTTATCTCCATTTTTACTCATTTTTTCCTCAATTTTGACCCATTTTTGCCCCAATTTTGGGTCAATTTTGCCTCATTTTTACCTCAATTTTTACCTCAATTTTGTATCATTTTTGACTCATTTTTATCTCCATTTTTTCTCATTTTTACCTCAATTTTTGCTCAATTTTGGGTCAATTTTGCCTCATTTTTAGCTCCATTTTTACCTCAATTTTGCCTCATTTTTATCTCCATTTTTACTCATTTTTACCTCAATTTTTCCTCATTTTTGCCCCATTTTTGCCCCATTTTTGCCCCAATTTTGGGTGACTTTCCTTCCCTCCCCCCCCCAGCGGGTCCTTCTGGGCACCCACGTGCTCCTGATGACGTCATCGGCGGCGGGGGCGGGGCTCTCCGTGATTGGTGCGATCGCCGCCAGCAGGGCCCGCCCCAAACGGATCCAGCCAGTGAGTGACGAGGGGGGCGTGGCCTAAAAAGGGGCGGGGCTAAAGGAGGGGAAAGGGTGTGGTTTCTTTGGGGGCGTGGCCTGGTTCTGACCACGCCCCCTTTTCCTCCAGCCCGTGGTGATTTACCAGACGGCCCTGGGGGCGGGGCCTGGAGAAGCCACGCCCACCGGCAACCCCGCCCCTCAATAAGGACCAATCAGGGACGAGGGGGCGTGTCTGGCTCCGCCCCCTCTTAGAATAATAATGGAAATAAAAATGATCAAAATCCAGGAAATGTTAAAAATTATATAAATATTAAATTGTATTATGTGATTATTAAACTTTTTAATTTTATTTAATTAATTTAATTCATTAAATGTCGATTTTTTTCATTGCGGTTTCAAATTTTTTCAACTGAATTAAAAAATAAAAAAATAAAACCAAAACGAAAAAATAAAATAATAAAAAATAATAAAAAAAATAAAAATAAATATAAAAATATAAAATATAAAATGTAAAAATATAAAAATTTAAAACCTAGGAATATAAAAATTGAAATTAATTATTAAAATA